AAAAAAAAAAAAAAAAAAAAAAAAAAAACAATGAAGTATAATGTTCAATAAATCAATCACCAGAGTCTAGATATAGCTTGTGCGTTTTGGAGAAAACAGCTAAATACATACCAATACAATTAACGAATTATATCCAACTAACCAACAAATTTTATACGTGTCCTGTCTAGGTGAAATGGGAATTGCCTGATGATGAGCATCATTCAAGATGTACCTCAACCTTCTTCCCACATTAATCCAAATATTAACTCGATTTATATCTTCGCTTTCATCGACTCTGGCCGGTATCATTAAGAACATAAAAGTTTACCATGAAAACTAAGTAAAACAGTAAGCGTAGAACCTCAACCTCCAAACTTGACAGGGGTTTTTATGGTTGTCTGATGTTAAGATGGACGGAGCTTCTTATGGTCATAAAGTTGAGTTAAATATAGACCGAAGTGTCCCTCGACAGTCTTCATTGATGTGCCGTTCACGTGACATGCATGCATGCCACTGTAATCCAAATAATCAATCTACTCAGATTATACTTATAGTTAATGATTTGGATGTGTACCACGCTAGCAACAACATCATCAAGAATGTAGGGAGACACACCAGTCACCGTTTACTAAAAAATTTCACTTTCTACTTTCTATATCAGAGAACACAACAGAGCATACTAAAGAAGCAAGTATTCTCGAGGACTAGACAATATAATGGATGGAAAGGCTAGAATAGGATGCATATTCATGACTTGTCTACGCACCAATATTGTGTACCTTGACATGCTACATCCATATCCAACTGACAACCATGAAAGAACTACTACAATGGAGTACTTACACACTCCAGTTAGCCAACACTACAAACTATTCTTGTGAAGCCAGTACCAGGTATATAAGCAGTGACTTGAAACTCAGAGGTCAATTGTACGCTGGAAATTTCATGTAGACAATGGAAAAGTTGACAAATAAGACGCCCATAATGTCACTCTATAGAATTTTACATGAGATTGTCACCCCATATGGCTCTTCTAACTCTTTCAAGGTAGTTGAACCCTTTTATTTTGATTGAGAATCTCTTACATTCCTCCACCCTAACCCCAAGATTAACTAAGACCAATCAATTCAAGATTTCCTGTTCCCCAAGATTAACTAAGACCAATCAATTCAAGATTTCCTGTTGAACACTTTCCATTTTTGTCAAAGGAGAAGAGTTTCTCTTTTTACCAAATATATGAAGGTCAAATTAAGATCTTACAATCTAATAAGAGCAACAGATGTTCCCAATGAATCCTTTACCCTTCATTCTTCAAAAATCATAAAGATGTTTTTCTCAGGTTTGAAGTTCATTTGGAATCAGGCTCTTCTATTTTCTACTTATTACTTTGTTTATTCTTTATTCCATTTCGATTTCCTTTACTTCTTTTTTATTTTTATTCCCTTCCACAATTTCCACTATTCCTTAAAGCCCATAGGTTTGTTGATGAACAATATAACAGATGATTCAACATTTGATATTCTTTTATTGCCGTTCACTCAAAATTTTCATTTCATAGTTTGTACATCTCAAAGAACACAACATCGCATACTAAAGAAGTAAGTATTCTATGATACAAAGGATGGGTAAGGCTTGAATCTATTGATGTGTCTCAGACTCTCAAGACTCGTCCACGCTACAATTTATTGTGTATCTTAACATGCTACATCCGTATCTAACTGACAACCATAAAGAAACTGCAATAGAGTACTTACATACTATAGTTCACTTGCCTATACTACAAAATATTATTGTGAAGCCAATACCTGTGATTTCAAATCCAGAGGATAGCATACTCTTACAATTCCATGTAAGCAAAGTCTTTTGTGGTGAGAGTGGAAAAACTTGACAGATAAGATACCTATAATGTCACTCTATAGAATTATACATGAGATGCCTAATAATATTTACAGACACACAACAGAAACTGATGACATTAACTGTTCTTACGACCAACATCTACAACTTCAGATCATCATTGTAGCAGGGCGCGTAAGCAAACATAGGTTCAACGTTCTTACGAATGCAGATCTCCTCCAATTTGCCACTCCCCCAATGATAAGAGAACAATATCTCCGGCATTATTTCATTCGAACAACCCTTATACTGTAACTGGAGAAAGATTATATCCAAATCTGGATGGAAAGCAGGGATGTCCACAAGAACCATACTACAGGAAAGCTTACCCATTATCTCTCCCATGCTCTTCCTAAACCTCAAAACGTAACGACCGCTCCTGGAGTCGTCAAGGACGCAGACATGCATAGCATCACGCACTACGAATGCAATATGCAACATCCCCCTAAAAAACCCAAAACAGGGCGCACAAAGACCGGCCTTCCGAATCGACCCATCAGGCCAATGTAACGGCCGACACTCCTTCAGTTTCAGATCAAGCGCGAAAGTACGGCCGTAATAGACGTCAAGAACGTAAAAAGATTCATTCTTTGAGCAAGCAATGCGGGTGTTTGCGGAGCAAACCTCACTGAGGCCGGCGATTCCACCGACAGTGCTCCAGCTGCCGGTATCCGACGAGAAGACGTCGACCTCGTCGGAGCCACGGCGGCGCACGGGATCACCCCCCGGCAACGGGAAAGATACGATCTTGAAGGAGCGGGTATCGGAATTGGGATTGAAAGCAAGGGCCAGCTCGATGGAAGCCCTGGGCGGCTTTGGGATTTTCGCCCGCTTTCTCGTCGCGGGGTTGCAGACGAAGAGGGAATTAGGGTTTGAGAGGAGGAGCAATCCGTTGCAGACGCCGAGAATTCGGCGGGGTTCGGGCAAGAAAGAGAGTCCGGAGTCGATCGTGGACGGATCGACGAAGGATCGAGAAGCGAGGGAGACGAATTTGGGGCTGGCGCCGGCGGAGAAGAGGCCGGCCATCGCCGGCGGCAGCTTCTTGTGGGATTGGGGGTCGGAGATTAGGGATCGCCATGATTTCGACACGCACTGGAACCTGAGCAGGGATCTGATGGGTAATTTTGATAGGATTTCTAACAAAACATCATCGGGATGATGATGATTATCCACTAATGAGATGTTTACGCTCATGATGATGATGATGATGATGATGATCCAGAGCGGCGTTTATAAAGTCTCTTGGAACGAGGAGCCTCGCTTGAAATCTTACGCAACATTATTACAGAATATGTTTTTTTTTCTTCTTTTTTTTTTTGCAACATACCCGAAATCATCACTAGTTGTTAGACGACCCACCAAATATTCGTATTTGATAAAGGGTTGTGTCGACATCAGTCCCTAAAATCTTTAATAATTGTCTTAGATAATCATCTAAAAACGCGACCTAAAATCACATGATTAAATTACATTGTGGATGATCCGTTCCGTTGAATTTAATTTACATATTCTAAAACCCCAACACATCAAGTTTGGGGTGAAACCGTCGTCGTTTGACACTTCATCCACTCGTATCAATTTTAACGGTTTCGAATGAATAGAACTTTTCACATGGCTCAACGGATGGTCAAATGACGATGGGTTCATCCCAAACTTGGTGTGTTGGGATTTTAGAATATGTAGATCAAGTTCAACGGAGCGGATCATCCACAATGTAACTCAATCATATGATTTTAGGTCGCGTCCTTAGATGATTATTTAAGACATTACTTTAGGAACACTTTTCCCTTATAATTTCATGTTAATCTCTTGATTATTCGAAACTGCTCATACGTCCCTCAAATGTAAGTGGTCTTGCAATGTGGTCCACTAATGACAAAATTATTTCACATCTAACATTATCTTAAATAGGAGGAATTTTGGGGGTGAAACATAAACCGACGGGTATTTTGGTCATTGGGGACCAACTTGCAAAACCCCATAGATGCCCTTTGGCAACATGTTAAGTGAGGTGTTACGGAGACTTAACTCTTTCTTAACCCGCCAAACTAGTTAAAGGTGTTAGACCCTAGAGGGGGGTGATTAGGGTCTTATGCCAATCTAATCCGATTAAATACCAATTAAAAATTAATTAACAAGTTATCCTTGCAAGTATGAAATGCAATAATATATATGAGATAGGATAAGCAATATACAATATGATATATCCTAGCAAAGAGATATATAGCAAAATATATATGCAAGGATATATAAACTAGCACAAGGGTAAACAATATAAACTAGATAGTGGATCATAAAAAGGATGAGTAATGCACAATTGGCGATATAAGATAAATGCAAAAACAACTACGCCAAAGACAAACTCAAACAAGCAATATGATCACGGAGTTCGGATCTTCCGTCCTACGTCTCCGCTCCCCACTCCCGGGGAGAAATCCACTAACACAATCCGGTTTGGAAGCCAGAACTTCTTCTACACACTCGGTTTTCTAGCTAACCGAAAACTCTACAACACACACTCTTGCAATCACACTCTACACCCACTAAGTGTTGGACCTAGCCGTGTCTCCCTCAAGTGCTCGGTTACAACCTCTCTCTAGGCATGTCAACCGACGCCACTCCTCTTGGGACGATCCCCGACTCTCACCACACACTCCTCTCGGTGTACAAGTGTATTACAAAGTGAATCTCACAATAAGCACAATATAAATCAATTGATTGTTCTCTAAACAAGGTGAGAACTCAATTAAGCACAACTCCTAGTCACAAACCCACAACCCAAAATTATACTATGAATGTAAATACAATAAACTCAATGGTTGTGTGTGTAAACAAATAGTATCAATAAAACAATTAAACTCAATATAGAAATCTAGCTTATGGAAATTAAGATCAAAACAATAAATAGCTAGAATTGAGTTTAAGGAAAACTTCTCTATAGATCAAGAGTGAGAGAGAGATGAGTTGAATGCCCAAACACCAAAGGATGATCTCCTCTTTGCTCTTGTGAAATTTGCTTCACAAACTAAACTCAAACAAACTCTTAAACTCTTTTAAACAAAACTTAAACCCTTGATTAAAAACTTTCTTAAACTTGTTTTAAAACTCTCTTGGATTGATCTTGAAAGAAAACAGCAAATGGGTATTTATACCCTCTAAAAACTCAGCCAAAACCCTAAAACAAATGACAGAAAAGTCCCCAGAAGACAACTCAGAAAAATAGCCGTTAGTGCCTAACGGATCTATTGGCGGTCGACCGACAGAACGTTCGGTCGACCGAAAAAGGAATTCGGTCGACCGACCGGAAAATCCGGTCGACCGCGACCAGGTCAAAACGAGAAAAACAAAAGATGACTTATCCGGGGATATAAACATGTAAGTGAACATGTTATAACTAGAATTTTCCAAATTACATTTCCCATTTGTGAAAAATAATCATTTTGCAAAATAGTCCAAAACATGAAAATATGAGATACTTGAATTTTGATGTTTTGACATAAACCAACTTTTGAAACTTTGTGAAATGTTTTTATAGACTTAGTAAAACATGTATAAACTGATATTGAAGTCTATAAACTAATAAGATAATATTTTCACAAAATTACATATTCTATGTAATAAGTACTAAAACACAATAGAGTATGTAATATCATAAAAACCAAAACACATGTATGTATATATATAAACTATATATATATATATATATATACAGAACCAAAACGTGTATGTGTGTATATGATTGAGCTTAAAGCACTAACACACATAATATAAATCCTAGACTAAATTACCCAAGCTTGATCTTGATCTTCATTGAGCTCAACTTGGTACACGTTGCGGATGAAGCTTAAACTTGATCTTTAACTTGAATTGTATGTAGCTTCACTCCACAAATCCGCCAACCTCCTCTTGATATGATCGTGTAGGCGCAATCCATCCATCCTCCAACTACGTTGTTTGTCTACAATACATAGGAATGTACAAACACTAGACAAACAATATTAGTAGTAAATTGTTTGTAAATCATCATCAAAACAAGAAGGCCAACAAAAGGGGGTTAATCCTCTATTTAGTTTGCTAAACACAAAAATATAGAATGGCTAAGCTAACCTTTCTAGAGGGAAATAAAATGAGTTAACCCTTAAAAATAAGAGGTTTACTAATACTCCTCTTTAGAAGGATTAAGAGTTAACCCCTCTATTTATAAAGAAAATAATCAAAATCATTGTTATTCCTAAACACTGAAAATTATCGCAAGAGCTAAAGTCTTATTTAACGAGTTAATAATTTAGTCATTTGGGTTATCGGATGCGCTAACTACATTAATCATTCTTCTTAATCCCTCTTCTTTAACCTTTTGCCAAATGAGGCCTTAGGGTTTAAGGGATTTGTGATCAATTTCAAACATCTGAGAGACTAATATGAAATTATTAAAAATTTGACAGACTAATATCTAAATAACCCTTAATTAGAATTATCCACTCAAAATCCTTGTCGTTTATATCGTGAAATTCAAGATTTTGAGCAGAAAAATTGAAACTTGGGTGGCGTTCTGATAAATGTGAGATTTTGAGGGTAAGTTAACAAACGACCAGATTTGGAGGGTTAGTTAATAAATGTTGATGTTTTGGGAGAATATGCGGCCAAAAACCGAAATAATATTTAATGACTTATTTTTAGGACCAGCTTTTATACCTAAACAGTTACACAAAGAAGATTTTTTTATTTAAGTTTAGATATCAACTTTTCGGTAAGTCTTATTTTATTATTAACTAATATTCTTGTGCAATGCGTGTATGATAAGAAGAGTGAAGAAGTGTAGCAAACTCCCTGTGATTTTGTCAAGTATGAAGACATTTTTGTTTATCCTTTAAAGTGTAAGACTATTTACAATTATTTTTTTTTTCAAATATAAGAACATTTTCAAAATTTTAAAATAGTGGCTCATAATGATGAAACAAGGGACCCCCCACAACATATAGAGTATATATAAATTAATTTTAGGAGCAGATTTACAGTGGAGAAAATGGGCAACTGTCTCCACTGAGCCCTGACGTGAAAAGAAACCTTAAAATAGTCTTGCCCAGCTTCCATATGAAAAGTTCCTTGCAAATTTTGTTAGTGGAAGCTTTGATTTGAAACTTTGATTCTATTCAAAGAAAAATATGAGGAAAGAAGATGAGTAAAGAGCTTTTTAAATTTGGCTAAAGGAGTGGATGACGAGAATTTATGATATGTTTGGAGGAGTTTTTTTTTAAAAAGATTTTTTTGCTAAATAATTAGCAAAACAGACCATTTTACTAATTATTTAGCAAAAATGACATCTTTTTGGCCAACAGGCCAAAAAGATGTCGGTTTTGAAAAACTGCATATTCGAAACATATGAGACTACTAATACTGTATGTTTAGTCGCTATTAATTGGCGACTAAACCGTAGATTTTGGTTGCCACTCAGCATAAGCCGTCGGTCATGGCCTCCCCTCGCCCTCCTCCTCCTGCCATCGATCTCGAAATCACTCTCGTCCCCTCGAAATCACCGCTCGCGTCCCCCTCACTGTCACGCCCCGGGTCAAAAACATGATAATTTGGAGCGTGACTCGGTCGGCAATGCAACCATCACTACAAGAAATCGGGTATTTAACGACCAAAATTAGCGAAGGGACCAGTTAACCGTCATTAATGTGTGTAAAATAACGACGGTTTTAAAGCCCTTCATCGAGTTATCACAATTATTAGAGAAATGATGTGAGATGGGATAACGGTTTTCTAATCCCTTTGTTGATTTGGTTCTAATACCGTCGTTATTGGGTCTACTGAAAGGCGAAGGAGTATATTACCTTCGTTGATGATACTCCTAATCATAATAGGATTGATAGTTTAACCTATTACTATTAATTAACAAGACCCAAAATCACAATCACCAAAGCCCCAAGGAGAACCCGAAACCCAAATTCCAAAATCGCCCATAAAAATCTCCTATTCATCCCTCAAAACGCTCGCCGCAAAAATAATTAAACCCTAGAATCTCAACTTCCGTAATTTCTTCACCAAACTCGTCTAGGGCCTAGATTAACAATAAATCGCCTACTGTTCATTGTTCTTCACCAAACTCGTCCGTAATTTCTTCGTCGTCTTCATCTTGCCGACAGCCGCGAGCCTCCGCTGCTCCAACTTCGCCGTCCCAACGTCTCCCGCCGTGCCGACCCAGCGCCGCCAACCGCCGCTCAGTGTCTGCCCTATTGTCGCCCCGTCATTGGCGTCGCCCCAGCATCGCCAGTTCTTCGCCGCAGCCCTTCGTCGCTGCCCCTGCCATCCGTTCGTGTGTGTGGTATACTTGCACTTAAATCCCTATAGTTTAGCCAACTTTGCACTTTTGCCATAAAGACCCTATACATTAGTTATGAATTGTTGTATTATAAGATTTAGACACTTAATCATGCTGAATGGAAATCCATAAGTGGTGTTTGCCTGTTTGTTATTTTCTCTTCGAAAGAAATGGAGATGGGCTATTACGTATTTAATTTATGTGTAAATATCTTCTGCCTAAATGGAAATCTGTGGATATTTTGATTTTAGTGTTCGTTTCCTTATTAGACACTAAGGGTGGACATGAACCAAATAATTAACAAATAGTTCAAAAATTGTTCGAATAAGTATTCGGTCATATTCGATTTGGTAGTTCATTTACCACTAAACAAATATTTTTTAGTATTTGAGTTTACTAACGAATAGAATTTAACCAGATATATTTTCGATTCGTTTGTCTATTAAATATTCGTTGGAAATTTGATCACAGCTTCTTACTTGTATTATTCACATATGATTCATATTTTAACCAACAGTATAATTTCTACTTAAGTTTTTATATACTGATTTTAAGACTGTAAATAATCTTAAATATGTTTTCTAATTAAAAATATTCTATTTAATTATACTTATATCAATAGTATATTATAAATGAATAAATTTTAGTTTTATGATTCGTAATACTATTTTGAAAAATTTAAATTCTTTAGCGGAATAAAATACTTTGATATTCTGAATAATATTCGTGATATTCATGGAATATTATCAAATACCAGTATTCGGTTCGAATTGAAAAACACAGAATATAATGAATATCAGAGTTCCACTAAGTTGCGAATTCGATAATTTTTAAAACAAATATAAATACGAACACCTTAGTATCGAATCGATTCGATCGGTTTACCACCCCTATTAGACACTTAATCATCGCTGAATTCTTACTTTGCATTACAGGTAAGACTCAAAACTAGCAATTTTGTTGTCAAGTAGTTACAGAACAGGTTTAATCAGAATTGTATGATATTTATGTATTTTGACATTCAACCTTTTTTCTTATATAATAATGATTTCTTATATAATAATTTTTCACCACTATTTTTTGGAATATTTTTATTCTTTTGTTTCTTTTGAAATGTTTCATAAATCCATTATCCCTAATCTCTTGTTTCATTCTGAGGTTAATCTGGTTGTTTTGTAAATTCCATGTATGTTGCAATTTTGACATCGGATTTCTGGTATTTGTTGGAATTCCACAAGTGATTTAACAAGACACATGCTCATCTATTTTTTTTTTCATTTCATGATGTTGTTTTGCGATGTCAGAAAAATAGGACTATCTATTTTTCATTTCATGATGTCTCCGTTGCATGTCAGACAAATTAGGCTATTATTATTTTTCATGTTCATATGGTCAAAATACAGAGAATCTTCTTTAGCTAGATTTTTGACGCAAAATTGCCTCTTTTAAAATTGTATATTTATGTGCTTTCTATTACTGATTCTTAATTGATATAACATGAATGCAATTAATTAACCACTTAGAATATATACCTTGTGCAACAATTTGCAATACCATATTGCTTTGCCTGTTAAGTAAATACATTTTTAAAGAGTACCACTAAGTTTTGTTCATTTCAAACAACATTCTCTTTGTGTTTAGTATTGATGAGGTTTGAAAAAATTTTTTTTTCAGGAAAATTTTGTACATTGCTTGAAATGGCGCCGATAAAGATGTGGATGGACCTAGTAAATTATGGTAGACTTGATTCCAAAAGTATGAAGAAAGGGTTGATAAGTTCTTAGACTAATCGTATCTGAGCAAGCTGTTGGATAGTTTATTTGAAAAGACGAAGACTTTGAAATTACGATGTTCCATGTGTAAATGCAGCAATTGGAAAGTCTGGTAATCGTGAGTCGGTAAATGACCTACTTGATTGTTCATGGAATTATTAAAAACTACAGATTTGGTGTCACTCACGGCGAAAGACAAGGTGAGTCCATTTCGAAGTTTGATGAAGAACAAGAAGAAATGACAGAAGAAAGCCAGAGTGACGTGAAATGCAAGAAATGATTCGGAGATTATTTCATAATCAACTGGCGTTGTTGCACCTGATGCCACGTCAAGCAGTCAGGATATTCTTGAGCAGGAACAGATGGACATTGCAAACAATTCTACAGTCTTTTAGGTGACTCCGAGAAACCTTTGTATGAAGGCTCTAAATGTTCAGTATCTGCTTTAGTGAAACTACTTCACATAAAAGACCTAAATAAGGTGGAGTAATAAATCATTCTCAATGTTGCTCCAGTTTTTGGAATGAGGAGCTATTGCCAGGGAATCAACACTGCCTAATTCGTACGACGAGGCCAAAAAAAAATCGAGACCTTGGCCTATCATATGAAAAATTGATTCGTGTCCATTCTCTTGCATGCTGTTTTGGAAAAATGAAGAAGATCTTGATACGTGTCAGAGATTGGTGCTTCTAGATGGAAACTTGATAAACATGGAAAAGAGATCAAGCGAAAGGCAAATGGTAAAAAAATACCACAAAAGACATTATGATATTTTCCTCTTAAGCCACGATTGCAAAGGCTTTACATGTCTTCGAAGACAGCTGTTTGTTGAAAATTTGCAGTAAAAAGACAAAGAAAGAAAAATTGACTTGTATTTCTCTCAAAATAAATTACAATTTGGATTCCGATTACAAAAGAGAGGAGAATGAATTTGATTCTCCCCTTTGTTTAAAACTGGGTTCTTCTTGGTAGCGATGGAGTGCCTCCTTCGATTGCTTGTGTCAAACTTGCTCTCCGTTGACGATCCGACCGTCCTGTCTCACGAAACCGATTGAATTGCTTGATGACTTCGGTTTAGAACTCTTGACGAGCGTAAAGAACTCTTGACGAGTTGAAAACTCTGATAAGAGTTGTTGAAAACCGAATGTCTGGTTTGATGTGATTAAGTTGGGTTGCAAGCTTAATCACGAACTCTTAAATGAGTTTCAAAACTCAGAGTGAGTTGGAACTCTGTAAAAGAGTTGTTGGAACCGAAGATTCGGTTAATTGCCAAGTTGATGATGCCCTTGATGAAAGGATCCTTTGGGATTTGATTAACTGATCGTTGATCAGTTCCTTGATCTTCAAAAGATCTCCTCCTTCGTGTTGTTGAACTACTGAGATTTGTTGACCCTAAGCGGTTTTGATACCAGCTCACCTCAACCCTATACGGTTTTTCTGCTAGAAACCGATCAACCGGTGGTTTGATCTATCCCAAAAATTCTAGTCCCGTAGGATATTGAAGAGAACTTGTTTGAATAAGTTTGAAACTCTAGCCGAGTTAAGAAACTCTTTTGAAAGAGTTAATTTCAGAAAGGATTAATAATCCTTTTAGCCAAGAATGATTGATCAATTGTTGATCTGAAGAACTTGCTAAACAAGTTTTAAAACTCTGATCGAGTTAGAGAAACTCTAAAAAGAGTTGATGATAACAAAGCAAGTTCAATCATTTCAAAAGAGTAGCTGATCTCTTTCTCTCTTCGGCCGATCTCAAAAAAGCTCCGCCAGTCCTTTATAGGTTCGGTAAAACCTCTATATCTCCAAATCTAACCGATAGAAAACAATTTCCACCGTTCAGAATTAGGAACAATAAGTTTAGTAGTCACTCTCCAAATTTCACATCGATCGGACCATGGATGAGGATCCGATCATCACACCGATCACAACTGCGCAAATCTGACTTTTCTCTGCACTCCTGGAACGACCAGCTTCGGTTAAACCTTCATATCTCCAAATCTAACCGATAGAAAGCAATCTCCACCGTTCAGAATTAGGAAAGACGAGTGTATAAGCTACCCTCCAAAGGACCACGGATGAGGGTCCGATCGTCATGCTGATCACAACTGCGCAAATCTGACCTTTCTCCTCCTCTCTTGTTCTCTCTTTCTTTTAATTTCGTCTAGCCCTCTACCACCAGCCCTATTTTTCTGTGAAAACCACCTATTTGTAGGAGTTTAAGGGGTATAACTATCCCCTTAATTAGCTCCATAATGGAGGTTAGTTGCCCTATTAAGTGGAGGACCGGTTCAAGGATTTGAAATGGTCAAACGCGACCTTTGCGTTGAAGAGATTGTCAATTATAATCTTTTTTTTTATTTTTGAACTTTTGTGAGGATCGTCAGATTGTAATCCTTACATTTAGCTCTTGATAATATGAGAGTCATCAATTTGTAACTCCCGATGTTGATTGTGAAGGCTGTTGAATTAGAGCTTTCATCAGTTGTTGTGAAGGTCGTCAGATTATAACCTTCATCAGTCTACGTGAAAGTCTTCAAATTGTAACCTTCTAAAAGTCATCAGATTGTAACTTCTATCATCGGTGTTTTGATGGGGATCAGCTATCTATTGTGATTTTTTGACAGCCTACAACAGCAGCTTCTGATATGAGATGGCACCATGAAAGACAAGTTGAGGACGGAGTGATGAGGCATCCAGCTGACTCTAAGGCTTGGAAAAACTTTAATGAGCTACATGAAAGCTTTGCCGAAGAGCCCCGAAATGTTAGGCTCGGTCTTGCAAGTGATGGTTTCCAGCCTTTCACAAATTCAAAAGTTTCTTATAGCATATGGCCCGTTTTACTTGTACCATATAACTTACCACCATGGATGTGCATGAAGCAATCTAATTTTATTTTATCTATGCTCATTCCTGGTCCAACTGGTCCTGGAGATGCTATTGACACCTACTTACAACCATTGATAGAAGAACTAAAGGAGTTGTGGGCCTCAGGCGTTCGAACATATGATGTATCTCTGAGACAGAATTTCATTTTACGTGCAGCACTAATTTGGACTATTAATGATTTTCCTGCTTATGCAAATTTATCTGGATGGAGCACTAAGGGGAAATTAGCATGTCCTTGTTGTAATAAGCACACTCACTCTATCAGGTTAAAATATGGAGGCAAGCAGAGCTATATGGGGCATCGTCGCTATCTTGATGAAAATCACAGTTGGAGAAAGGATAAGAAATCATTTGATGGCACTAGGGAGAGAGGGTATGCAGCGCCGAAGCTGACCGGAGATGACATCCTTAAGCAGGTGGAAGATCTTATAGGGATCACCTTGACCAATCATCCAGAGAAGAAAATTAAAATATCACACGAAAGACGGGGAGATAATTGGAATAAAAAAAGTATTTTTTTTGATTTGCCATATTGGAGAACTCTCTTATTGCGACATAATTTAGATGTCATGCATATTGAGAAGAATATTTGTGATAGTCTGCTGGGAACAATCATGAACATTAAAGGAAAGACAAAGGATAATATCAAAGCCCGTCTCGATTTACAAGCAATGAGTTTAAAACCGGAGTTACATCCAATCCAGAGAGGAGATAAACTTGTGATGCCAGCAGCTTGTTATACTTTATCCCAAGAAGAGCAAAGCAAATTTTGTCGATTTCTAAAGGAGTTAAAAGTTCCAGATGGATTTTCATCCAATATTTCTCAATGTGTAAATCTTAAAGAGCGTAAGATTTTGGGGTTAAAGAGTCATGACTGTCACGTTCTTTTGCAGCGCTTGATTCCTGTATCGATTCGTGGCCTTCTTCCTGCAAAAGTGTGTGAACCAATTATTGAACTTTCCATATTCTTCACTATATTATGTGCCAAGACATTAAGGGTGGATGAACTTAAGCAAATTGATGAGCAGATTCCACTTACGTTATGTAAGCTTGAGAAGATTTTTCCACCTTCAATTTTTGATGTTATGCTGCATTTAGTAGTTCATTTAGCATCTGAAGCCATACTTGGAGGGCCTGTTCGATTTCGATGGATGTACCCAGTGGAGCGTCAGCTTTATACTTATAAGTCATATATCAGAAATAGGGCACGTCCAGAAGGGTCAATTGCTGAAGGATATATAGCAGATGAATGCATGACTTTTTGCTCAAGATATCTAAAAGGCTTCGAGACAAAGTTTAATCGCCTTGAAAGAAATTATGAAGATGACAATAGAGAATGTAATGAAGCACAATATACACAAAGTGATATATCCTATATGATGAAATATATATGCAAGGATATATAAACTAACACAAGGGGTAAACAATGTGAACTAGATAGTGGATCATATAAATAATGAGCTAATGACAATGGCGACAAGAAATATAAACACAAGTATAAATAAATGCCAAAGCACACTCAAACACAAGATATGATCACGGAGTTCGGACCTTCCGTCCTACGTCTCCGCTCCCCACTCCCGGGGAGAAATCCACTATCAACCGGGTTTTCTACGTTCACCCGAACAACGTTTACACCTCACACTCGGTTTTCTAGCTAACCGAAAACTTTACAATCAACACACTATTGTAATCCCACTCTACACCCACGTTTACACCTCACAGTGTCGGTTTTCAACGCTCACCGAACAACGTTCACTCCTCACACTCGGTTTTCTAGTTCACCGAAAACTTCACAACACACTCTCGGTTTTCTAGCTCACCGAAAACCTTACTACACTCACAATGTAACAAATATAAATTTGTTCTCTACAATAGATGAGAACACAATGAAGCACAACTTAATGTTACAATCTCTCACAACCCTAATATACTATGTATGCAAATACAATAAGCTCAAAGTGGGTGTGTGTAACAATGAGTGAAATCAAAATCAAACTAAACTCAAATATAAAATCTAGCTTAAGAACAATGATAATCAAACAAGTATGTAAATGTAAAGCTAGAGTTGAGTTTAGGAAAACTTCTCTAGATCAAGATGGAGAGATGGAGATTGGAGCCCAAACAAGAAGATAATCTCCTCCACTTGTGAAAACTTCTTCACAAACAAAACAAACCCTTAAACACACTTAAACCCTTGTTTAAAACTTGTTTAAAAACTTCTTAGGTTGGTTGAAAACTGAGATCAAAGAGAGTATTTATATCTTCCAAAACCTCAGCTAAAAATCCCAAGTCAAAAGACAAAAACAGCCCCAGCAAATAGCTCAGAGAAATAGCCGTTGGAAGCCAACGGATCTATTGTCGGTCGACCGGAAATTTCGTCGGTCGACCGACGGAGAGGATCGGTCGACCGACGGAAAATTCGGTCGACCGTTATCCAGGTCGACACCGGTCGACCGACCAACTCTCTGTCGCCCAGTGATGAAAGATCAAATGATCGGTCGACCGGTGCGGTCGACCGAAAACTGACATATAAAAACTGATTTGCTGATTTTAAAACCCTGTTTAAAAATATCAAATAAATTCCAAAAAATATAAAACTTTGGAGAATGATTGTAGACATGATAATAAACATGCTACAGCGATTGGTTATCAGAAAGGACCTCCCAAATAAAAAATATCATCATTTTACAAAATAGTCCAAAAACATGAAAATATGATATACTTGAAATTTGATGTTTTGACATAAACCAACTTTTAAAACTTTGTGAAATATTTTTATAGACTTAGTAAAACATGTATAAACTGATATTGAAGTCTATAAACTAATAAGACAATATTTTCACAAAATTGCATATTCTATGCAATGTTTTCAAAAAACACAATAGTAAATATGAAATATGTGATTTCATATTATAAACATGAAAACCCAAAACCATGCATGTATATATATAACTAGATATATATACATAGAAAACAAAACTTATGTATGTATATATATATATAAAACTATATATGCATAAAAACCAAAACTTGTGTATATATATATAACTATATATATATACGAAGAAACCAATAAAATGTGTGTGTATATTATATTGAGCTTAGAGTATTTAACACACATAATATAACACTTAAACTAAAGTTACCCAAGCAATGATCTTGATCTTCATTGTAGCTCAACTTGGTACACGTTGCGGATGAAACTTGAACTTGATCTTTAACTTGAATTATATGTTGCTTCACTCCACAATTCCGCCAACCTCCTTTTGATATGATCGTATAGGCTTAATCCATCCAACCTCCAATAACGTTGTTTGTCTACAATACATAGGAAAACACAAACACTAGACAAACAACATTAGTAGTAAATTGTTTGTAAATCATCATCAAAACAAGAAGGCCAACAACAACCACACATTGAGTAAGTCACTAAAGTTTAAGATTCTACTAATAAATTTACTATAGTTAGTCAACGTTAATCATATTTATGATATTTTAATATAGGGACTACAATGAATTCGTGAGAGAACCCACAAATCACTATGATGATAAAGATTGGGATAAGAACTTTATCGAGTGGTTCCAATCTCTAGTACGTACATATCTTGCCTTATTTTTTAAATATCTTGATTGGTTCATTTTATTACATGTTCCATGACTTGATCATATTTTGGTTTTGTTTAGGTTTATCAGAGTTATCGAGAAGATGATGACTTACTTTCATTATCTCGTGGTCCAAGTAAGATTGTTAAATGTTTTACTGGATTTATCATAAATGGACATCGGTTTCATACAGAAATTTGAGATAATTGTTTGTCGACTCAAAATTGTGGGGTTGCAGTTGTTGGTGATGCTGGTGATGGTGGAGATATAGATTATTATGGTGCTTTGGTTGAAGTTGTCGAATTAGAGTATCTTGGTGGAAGAAAGGTTGTTCTATTTCGTTGTAAGTGGTGGGATGTGCATGGCAAAGGAAAAGAGACAGCTTTGAAAGAAGACAAATATGGATTTATTAGTATTAACTGTAGACACTTGCTAAAAACGAATGACCACTTTATACTTGCTGGCCAAACATCACAAGTTTTTTATGTTGAGGATATTGCCAATGAAGGTTGGCATGTAGTTCTTAAAGCACAACCCCGTGATTCATATGATATGCCACCAGATACAGATGATTGTGAGATAACAGACGATGGAGTTGAAGCTTATTTGCAAGATGAATCATTTGATGCTCAGGCTATTGCATCCACATCATTGGTAGATGATGATATCAATTTGAGAAGGAGCGATATTGATCCAATTATTGTAAATTCGGTCTCAACTTCAAAAAAGATGAAAAAGACTCAAGTAGAGGATTAAAACGCTTTCATTAAAGAATGACACTCAAATGATATTGTGTTATTGAGATAATATTTTAAGTTGTATCTTACTATAACTATTTTTTTTAGACATATGATGTTTCTTTTCTTCCTATTTTGAATTTGGCTTTGACATTGCAGCAAGTGCTTCTACATTAGTGCACTATCTATTTATTATTATGCTTGTCCTTCGTGATATCTTCTTCTTTTATTCATTTCTCTTTTGATATTTGTTTCATACATAGTGTGTAATACTTAAATTCCTTTTCATAGCAGGAAAATGAAAACTCAAGAAGTCACTTCCAAAAGCAAAAGGGCACAATTTCTAGCACCCAGGTCATAGCAGGAAAATGAAAACTCAAGAAGTCACTTCCAAAAGCAAAAGGGCACAATTTCTAGCACCCAGGTCATGACAGAGAGAAGGTGATGAACGTTATTATCTAAGTCAAAGAGGATTATCCAACGCCGACCAGTGAATCAACGAACTATTAATGACGTGGCCTGCGTGCTCATCGGCCACCAAATCGGCGAACCAAGTGGCCCGCGTGCTCACCGATCACCATCAAGTGGCCCGCACGTTCATCGGCCACCAAATCGGTGAACCAAGTGGCCCGCGTGTTCACCGGCCACCACCAAGTGGCCCGCACGCTTATTGGCCACCAAAATAACGTACAGATCAATGAATCAATGAAATATGCGTAACGACAGAACAAGTCAAAATCCGGAAGACTAAGAAAGACGCTGGCGGTCGAGTCGCATCGAAACGGCTCGGCCGAACCAGTGGTTCGGCCCATAGCCAGGTCACCAAGGGTGGCTGCGACGGCAAACACCATAATCAACCATTGGTGGCTGGGACAAGGCCGAGCCACCATTTGGTGGCTGGGACAGGTCGAGCCATCATTTGGTGGCTGGGATAAGGCCGAACCACCATTTAGTGGCTGGGACAAGCCGAGCCCCATTTGGTGGCTGGGCCCAGGCGCGCCACTATTTGGGGGCTAGGTCAGGCCGAGCCACCATTTGGTGGCTAGGCCAAGGCCGAGCCACTGGGTGACGCTTCCCGTCAGATTCGATCTAAAAGTATGATTTTTCGGTTTTCACGTATTCTCTTAAGATTTGTTGGTTCCTGAGCATCCTAACTGATCTGATACTATGGTTAATCAGTTCTTAACTAAAGATAAGGAGGAATCCATCGTTCTTATCCAAATACCCGCTTCCGAAGCTTATAAATACGAGCTCGGGTGCACATTTCAAAAAGAGGACATCAAGAGGACGAAGTGCTACCGAATTAGAGAGTGGAGCCACGAATTTACAGCAAGGGTTAGCAGATCTTGGCGATCTCATGTGCATAAAGAGTGGAGTTTAAGAGATCTGAGACCCGTCCCCTATTCCTCCGGATTTAAGCTTGGTCTTAAATCTCGAGAAGAGCCATGATTTTGCTTAGTCAAAATCACTGCTACTGCAATTACTTCTTTTGTGAAGTGAGAGCATTGATTATCCAACTTCTGCTAACCAGATCTGATCCGCGACGGTCCACGGATATTAACGTCCCCAGCACAGGCAAAGAACCCACACAAGCAGCAGGTGATAAACGTTCGTTGCGCTGTTTGACAAGAGTTATAATTTTTATTTTCATTGTGTAAAGGAGATCTTATAAAAAGACCGATTTTTTTTGAACTTATTGTAATGGTTGAAATTGTAATGAGTTCGTCACCAATAAAAATATCAACTTTTAACCCAAGCTGTCGTGTCGCAACCAAGGATCTGCATCCCGATTGAAGAAGTGGTTGAATACGAGTTCGACCAACAGAAGTTCGAGGAGTATCTGCCGTCCTCCTCCTCCAAATCCTCCGCCCCTCGCAAGCGCAGGAAGATTAAGGCTCCCGTTGCTGTAGTAGTTGGATCTCGCAACGTACTTCTGGTCTCTAATGAAGTCAGACTTATAGATCTGAACTCCTCCTCAATCAAGGAGTTGAGTACCGAAGTTATGCCAACCCTATCAAAGAGGGCGCGCCAAAGGCAACGCCAACAACTTGCGCGCCGATTTGCTAAGGCTTTGGAGCCTATTGACGGGATCAGTTATGAGGCGGATCTGAAACGCAGAAGGCACCGAGTGCCCAAACAGCAAATAAATGGTCTCTCCTCCAAACCAACAGCGAATGAGTGGATCCAAGTCAAACGGACCCGCTTAACCTTCGAGGAGCGCATTCAGAAACGTCGTGCCTTGATTGCGCATGCACGGATTCTTATACAAGAAGTGCAGAAGTTGAGGCAAAAAGAGATGATCAAGAGGCCACAGAAACCACGCCAAGTCTGGAAACCAAAGTCCGAAACGGCGTCGACAAAAAGTCAAACAGCTTCCGGAACTG